AATGCATTACAGGAGGATCTAAATAAACTGCAGGGGTGGTCTGAAAAATGGCAAATGAAATTCAACACCAGCAAGTGCAGCGTACTTAATATTGGAAGAACAAATACTTATAATGTATACAGCCTTAACAACATCAACCTAGAGAAGTCGACTTGTGAAAGAGACCTAGGGGTACTTGTAAGCCCGGACCTACGGCCTAGAAAACAGTGCGTTAATGTTCGAAACAAGGCAAACGGAGTATTGGGTTTTATATCTAGAAGTGTAAGTAATACGAGTGCAGAGGTCTTATTGCAACTATATCTTGCGCTCGTCAGGCCGCACCTCGATTATGCGGTTCAGTTCTGGTGCCCTTATTATAGAATGTATATCAATTCACTAGAGTCGGTGCAGCGAAGAATGACGAAAATGATTCCGGGATTTAGAAACCTTTCATATCAGGATAGGTTAAAGAAACTTAACTTGCATTCCCTGGAAAGACGAAGAGTGCGGGGAGATATGATAGAAGTATTTAAGTGGGTGAAAGGAATCAATAAAGGCGATATAGATAAAGTTCTTATAATATCCGAGCGAGATAGGACTCGGAGCAACGGATTCAAGTTGGATAAGTTTAGGTTTAGGAGGGAGATAGGAAGAAACTGGTTCACAAATAGGGTGGTGGACGAGCGGAACAAGCTTACCAACTTTGTAGTAAGTGCTGGAACTCTGGAAAGTTTCAAAAGGAGGCTGGATAGATTCATGGATGATAGAGAGTGGTAGTAACTCTCGACAGGATCTGCCATGCACAGGCCAACCGGCCTATTGCAGACTCCTTATTTTCTTATGTTCTTATGTAATGTATAACTAGTATGATGAAAGTGCAAAGTTTGAATGAATGAATGTGAAATGCGGTATTGGCTTGGCTGTAGGTTAGGTTAGGTGAACAACGACATTAGAGGTCCAGGGTTCGATTCCCGACTAGTGAGGTATTATGATCTACTATTCTCATTTATGGACACTGTGAGGTGAAATAGAATGAAATTGAAACAGTTTATGTAGTCAGAAAAATACACTTATGAAGTAAACAGTATTGATATGTCTGAATGTTTCGAATCCTGGAGCTCCTCTTGGGGAACCCTGCCTACGGGGTCGTCAGTTTTTGTTTCTCCAATGCGCGAAATTGACAAACGTTCGATAAATCACTCATTTCCACCAACTGCCCCGATGAGACAGACGCAGATCTTCAGCCGCACGAGAAGTTGGCGATAAACACGAAACACAATTCCATAAAGCGGAAACCCATGCTCTCATTACTCGGAAAATATCGCTCCATTCACGACAATATCATGACTGCTGTTACGAGGCAAGGCAACCTGAGTTCCAATCACACGGATATCCGGGCGACTGTCACGGAAATCCAGGCTCCGATTACACGTGGATCTTAGTTCGGATCACAGGAAAATCCGGGCTCAAATCACACGGATGTTAAAGCTCAAATCACACGGATGTTAAAGCTCAAATCACAGGAAACCCGGGGGTCTAAATCACAGGTAACCCGGGGGGTCTAAATCACAGGTAACCCGGGGATCTAAATCACACGTAACCCGGGGGTCTAAATCACACGTAACCCGGGGGTCTAAATCACAGGCAACCCGGGGTCTAAATCCCACGTAACCCGGGGGTCTAAATCCCACGTAAAATAAATCACGTAACCCGGGGTCTAAATCACACTAAATAAATCACACGTAACCCGGGGTCTAAATCACAGGCAACCCGGGTCAAATCACGTAAGGTCTAAACCACAAACCCGGGGTCTAAATCACACGTAACCCGGGGGTCTAAATCACACGTAACCCGGGGGTCTAAATCACACGTAACCCGGGGGTCTAAATCAGACATTGTAATCAAGGGAGTGAGCTATAATTGGTCGTTGCCTGCCTGGGGTTGTGGGTTGGGCGGAAGTGAGCAAGACAGCTTGGTGTTGGTAGGTGTAGGTGGTAATGGTGGGGGTAGTGGTAGGTGTAGGTGGTAATGGTGGGGGTGTTAGTACTGGTAGGTGTAGGTGGTAGTGGTGGGGGTGTAGGTGGTAGTGGTAGGTCGGGGTGTAGGTGGTAGTAGATGTCTGTACAGGTATAGCTATTTGGTTTGGTGGGTGAAGTGTTGGAGCTAGTGAAGGTGGTGTGGGTAGGTCAGATATAAAGGTGGGGGTTGATATTGTAGGTTATGATCAAGAGAACAGGTGTGTGTGTGAAGGCGGGTTTATGTGGGTGTGGGGAGGCGTGAAGACAAGAGGCGTGAAGACAGGTTTATGTGGGTGTGGGGAGGCGTGAAGGCAGGTTTATGTGGGTGTGGGGGGTGGGGTGGGTGTGGGGAGGCGTGAAGGCAGGTTATGTGGGTGTGTGGGTGGGAGGCGTGAAGGCGGGTTTATGTGGGCGTGGGGAGGTGAAGGCGGGTTTATGGGCGTGGGGAGGCGTGAAAGGTTTATGTGGGTGTGGGAGGCGTGAAGGCAGGTTTATGGGTGTGGGAGGCGTGAAGGCGGGTTTATGTGGGCGTGGGGAGCGTGAAGGCGGGTTTATGGGCGTGGGAGGCGTGAAGGCGGGTTTATGTGGGCGTGGGGAGGCGTGAAGGCGGGTTTATGTGGGCGTGGGAGGCGTGAAGGCGGGTTTATGTGGGTGTGGGGAGGCAGGTGTTGGCGGGCAGTGTTAGTATGGCTAGTAAATAGAAGCTGGTAAACACAGGGTTGAGGGGTGGTGCTTGAAGGGGCAGGGGTGGTGTGAAGGTGGGGGGCGAGGGGTGGTGCTTGTAAGGGGATGAGGGGCGTGCTTGGGGGTGAGGGGTGGTAAGGGGTGAGGTGCTTGTAAGGGGGTGAGGGTGGTGCTTGGTGCTTGGGGGTGAGGGTGGTGCTTGGGGGTGGGGGTGGGAGGTGGGGTAAGGGTGGTGCTTTGGGGATGAGGGGGTGAGGGTGGTGTGGTGGGTGCTTGTAAGGGGTGAGGTGGTGCTTGGGGGTGAGGGGTGGTGCTTGTAAGGGGGGTGAGGGGTGGTGCGAGGTGTAAGGGTGAGTGAGGGTGGTGCTTGTAAGGAGGTGGGGGTAAGGGTGGTGCTTGGTAAAGGGGGTGAGGGGTGGTGCTAGGTAGGGAGGGGGTAGGTGAGGGGTGGTGCTAGGGAGGGAGTGGGTGAGGGCGGGCAGGGTGGTGAGAAACAACAGTTGGGGCGGACCGCTAGTGTTACCGTCAAGGGCACCCCCTCCTCAACTGCCCCAGGGCAGAGCCGCCGGGGGGTACACACACACACTGCCCCGGGCCACACAACTCTTAACACTGGGAATTTCTTCATGTTTGTGGCCACTTTCCACATTGTCAGAATACCTGCAATACACTTTAAACCCCCAACAGGGCAGGTGCATTATATTTATACTTTTCAGAGTCTTTATTGTCAGCTGTCAGGTTAGGCTAAAATCTGTCGAGACATATTGCTCTACTGTGGTGGGATTAGGTTGTACAGATACGATACGTAGTGATGAAACACAACACTCTGGTCTCATCCACATTCATCTAAACACTACATCATAGAATCTGCTCTGAAGATAATTTGACAGCTGCACATTTCATGTATTTGGGTTCCTTTTACACCGTCAACGTCACACAAAGAGAAATCCTTGACCAAGAGGAGCTGTAACGTTTGAGAGGTCACTAGTTTACAAGTTATATAATAACGTAGTAACAGAGAAGATTACACAGAATAATAAATTTGTTGTTATATTCGTCAATTTAGGAGTCGGTTATCACAGGCGTCGCTACAGGGTGGTAATTAAGAGTAATTCTCAGATATGTCCGGGGGCTAAGACGGTGCAGTGTAGCATCCATCAAGAATAACTTTAGGTGGATCTAAATATCAAGGTACCAGTCGACTTTGAGGGCCATGCAACAAGTGACGGCTATGTTCATTATCAAGGGTGTGGGGGGTGGGAGGAAGTGGTGGAGACAGTGTGGCGGGGTTAAGCGTGTTGCCTCAGCGGTGGTGTGGGAGTCTCACGTCAATGTCTCGCTGACACTCACTAAACCAACCAATCATCATCAAATCAGAAACGTAATCATGGCTGATCAAGTAGAATTTCTATTATTTTGGTGCAGAGTAAGTAAAAGTCTTATTCACTGGGCTGCTTACGAGCTTCTAAATCATCAAAATTAGACACTTAGAAATTGCTGAATAATCAAAGCAAACTTATGGGCAATTTTCATTCTATCATAATGGCAAATTAATTTAAACTTATTTATGAAACTACATCCATGCGTTTGAATTATTAAATTTTCTCTCAATCGCATATTCTAATTCAAAATTAATAAATTAGACTAGTACTTACAAACACCCATAAAGTTATCTGATGCTTCACCTCAAAGTATAAACACAGTATAATATTATCTTCGTTAATATGAGGAGACGATATTTTAACCTGTTTATCCCGTTTTCATACTCAAGGAATTCATATAAATAAATCACCAAATTCCTAAGTTAATCTTCTTTAAACCTTGAGCTGTGTTGACAGTTTCCACCACCTCGGATCATCCAGACGAAATGTGATACCAAGAAACCTTTTAACATCGGATAAACGAGACGATTTCGTTACCACTAAAATTCCTCCAAAGATTCTGGTACCAAATATCTGGTCTCTACATAGGCTTTAAAAGTGGCTGAGATCATACAGTAAAAAAAATAAATTAAGAGTTAAATCCAGGCTTGTCTTTATGACGCTGCCACGAACCACTCTGTTGGGATGTTTTCAGTGTGAATGGTTGCACACCGGCGTCCGCTCATAATTAACAAGCATGGAGTCTCCCAAGTAATGTATCACCTGCTTGTTAGGACTCGTTGACCTTCCTAGTAAATACTATACTCATGGAGGGTTACAGTTTGCAGTGTAAACTCACCCCTTGGAGAACACTGTCGAGGGGGGGGGGGGTTGTTTACATACCTGGGGCGGTTCTCACATAAAAATGACTAATTAATACAGCCAGGTCTGCACTCACCTGTTGCTGTCTTGTACTGAAGTTGATCCTGAAACAAAGAAAATATTGTATGAGAGATGAACTTAGTGACGTTTGTAGGTATAATCGATAAGTGATGCAGTATATAACAATGAGAGTGAATTCAGAGTGATTTTAGACAAGATAGATAAAGTTCCCCGTGTTCATTAGCCGGATTTGAGATTTGGTAAAAATCTGTTTGTCTAGTTCAGATTTGTTAGACCTTACGAGCATCTTACATCTCCCGTAAATATACACAACATAACGTCACAGTCGGGAGTAATGAACATTCACAGCCACATTGTAAACATTCACGGTCACATAGCAAACATTTGCATTCTTCACGACCGCTAGAACAGCATCATAATAAACATTCACAACACTACAGTAAATATTCATACCTCCCTCTACCCTCCTAGACGAGTGAGAGCATAGTTTTAACAACCATTCCGAGAACTGGGAAACTAATTGCCCTAATTACACTGTTGAGGGGTAACTATCACTTAAGCACTTGTGATGAAATGTCCACACGGCTGCAGACTGGTCATTAGTGCCTGGGAACAAGGTATATAACAGCCTATACCTTACACTTTATTACCGATAAATCATTCCAGGGAAGTATAATGCTGTCGAACTCACTACTTGAAGCCCCGACGACAAATGACACCGTAAAGTTGAGAAGTGTGTGTGTGTGTGTGTGTGTGTGTGTGTGTGTGTGTGTGTGTGTGTGTGTGTGTGTGTGTGTGTGTGTGTGTGTGTGTGTGTGTGTGTGTGTGTGTGTGTGTGTGTGTGTGTGTGTGTGTGTGTGTGTGTGTGTGTGTGTGTGTGTGTGTGTGTGTGTGTGTGTGTGTGTGTGTGTGTGTGTGTGTGTGTGTGTGTGTGTGTGTGTGTGTGTGTGGTGTGTGTGTGTGTGGTGTGTGTGTGTGTGTGTGTGTGTGTGTGTGTGTGTGTGTGTGTGTGTGTGTGTGGTGTGTGTGTGTGTGTGTGTGTGGTGTGTGTGTGTGTGTGTGTGTGTGTGTGTGTGTGTGTGTGTGTGGTGTGTGTGTGTGTGTGTGTGTGGTGTGTGTGTGTGTGTGTGTGTGTGTGTGTGTGTGTGTGTGTGTGTGTGTGTGTGTGTGTGTGTGTGTGTGTGTGTGTGTGTGTGTGTGTGTGTGTGTGTGTGTGTGTGTGTGTGTGTGTGTGTGGTGTGTGTGGTGTGTGTGGTGTGTGTGTGTGGTGTGTGTGTAACTGTTATGCATATTATTCCATGTGTAAATACAGACTCGTGTGAATATTTTGTATAATTCCTCGTTTGTTATGGTCAATATATTGTTTTTATTTGTATACCAGGATATTGTAATGGTTCTTTGTTATTTATTTTGTCTTAGTCATATAAATATTTACAAAACAGTTATTAAAATATTAAGAGTGGACAAAAACAATATTTGCATGGTTACGGGTCGCATCGTTCCTTAATAACAATAATAGTTTAATCTAGCAAAAAAATATATAAAATCTAACAATTTAACACAGCATTATATATCATGGAGTGATGGGTGGTAAGTCTCAAGTTATATCATCCAGTATTTACTATTATCGAGCTGTACACAACACGATAAACAAAGGGCACACACGCCGACCAGGTAATCTGAACGTTTGGGGAGGTCACAGAGCCTACCCCTAGCCTGTGATAACCACCCTCACCGCCACCAAAATTGAGACATTCGGGTTAAAATTTTAGCCACAAAATAGCTTCATCGTGAGGTACAGCCAACCCTTGTCTCATCCCACCAGCGGCCTCGACCACAACTCTTGAACGGTGTCTTGAGCAACGAGAGAAGTAACTCAACGAAATCTTTTAAGTGACATCTTTAGCGAATGGAATAAGAGATCCCAAAACTGACATCTTGGACTAGTGATCTAAACGACGCCAACATGACATCTTTGACGACTTCTTGGAACTTAACGACGGCGAACGAACAACAGGGATGAACTTCAGCTAATAAACAACAGCGACTTGACAGCGTTTAACGACCGACACATGAAAAACGACCAAACGATCTATAAATAAAGTTGGAGGGAGTGAAAGGGGCCATGGGGGGAGGGGGGTAGGAGAATGGATGAGGCGAGTGATTGACATTTTACATTGGAGAAACAAATCGACGAAATTATCGATGCTGAAATTTAAGCCGCCGACCACGACCACAGCGAACGATATCCGTGACACCAAACATTCACTCTATCACGATGTTTGAGGGATGGGAGCGAACTCATACCCAGCGACAGCAAATTAACATCCGACAACTGAGAGAGACAAGGGAGTGAACCTAGCATTGACACAGCCATTAAGAGGCGAAATAGCACTTGCGACATCGAAATTGTTGGTTGTTCGCGTTTACTGCACAGGAGAGCAATGTTCCAGGGAATTTAGCAGCGGTTGTTGACATTTTTAATACACAATTACCTCCGGCCTAAAGCTTGACGTGAGGAGTAGTAGAAGACGAAGAGGGGAAAAGAACAAAAGAGTGAAAAATAAGAAGAAAAAGGAAGAATAAGAAGAATAAGAAGAAAGAAAAATAACAAGAAGATTGAAGAAGATGAAGAAAAATGCAGGAAGAAAAAGGTCAAAGGATCACACAAGGCGTCGTTTGTGTTATAAAGAGCATCGTGTAGGAGGCGTTTTACTGACAAACAACTTCCACTGGGCACATACGTACAGTGTTCTCGATTGAGATGGAGGGAAAGGCAGAACAATCGGTCTTGGCTCTCCTCTACCCTTTCCTCCCTCCCAATCCCTACTACCCTTAGCCATATGGCCACCCAGTCCTTGCACATCCCTACTCCCTCCCAGTTTCACATTCTCCCTCTCCCTAATTCTTACCTGCCCTTACCTCCCCCTCCACCACCCCTCTCTCCTGTATTATCACCTAAATTAAGGACAGTTATTCCCACTAATATCCCAGTGAATACCTGTACATTATCACTGCCTACTGACCCTTGATGATAATGGCAGCACGAGAGTAACTTTCACCTGGGCTGCTCCTATAGTAACAGAAGGTATACAGTATATAACTTTGAATCAACCGAAGATTGGTTTCCCGAGCTTATTTCACCTGATAATTAAACACCTCATCGCTACCTGGGGGGTTAGGTTAATTTAGCATTAATATGGTTAATCTACAGGTTATTACGTTTTTGTTATTTTTTTGTGCATGGTATATTGTTATTGGTATGTACACACTGATATAGCGTCCGTAATGAAGCACGTATTTATAGTGTCTGAATAAGAACCCTTGGAGACTGATTATCGTGTTCGGTCATGCAGAGTAATTTGAAACTTTTAAATCGGTGCGAAATAAATTCCACCAGACTGACAAGTGAATCGGTCGACTACTAATGCACAAACACCAGAGTGACGTTAATGGCACTACGATCCATCAGCGAGGGAGAAAATACCAGGTTTTAAGACTCACACCACCGCCCGCCCTGAGACAATGGGTTGACGATAAAATTTGGTGAAGTGTCTTGGACCATCAGCTCAACAGGACGCGGCCACAGTGTCTTGATAACCTTTGACCTCATTACCTGTGTTACCTTAGTAGATGATGATGGGGTGAGGGGAGTCGAGGGTGGGGTGAGGGGAGAAGAGGCAAGGGTGGGGTGGAGTGAGGGGAAGAAACAGTGAGGGAGGGGGAAGGATAGTCTTAATTATCTTTCTCCCTCTCTCGCTCTCACACACACACCCACAATACAGAACTTCCCCAGAAACACTAACACATTAATAGCAAATTCTCTCCGTCACAGTTCACACGCTAAGAATATAATATAAAATAATATTCTTACGAGTATAATGTTTTCCTACAGCTCAGCCATAAAAGAAAATAATAACATGAGCCCCAGTAAAAAAAAAAAGAGAGACCAACTAACAAAAATACCCCCACAGGCCATCTAGTGACGCATGGGTAATATAACTTGTAGATTTTAACGAGCGTAATGCGTGTGAGTATGAGAACTTCTTTGGCCAGGTTAGGAGAGTGGTGGTAGTGGACGTCGTAGTGGTGGTGATGGTGGGGGTAGTGGTGGTGATGGTGGCCGCAGGAGTGATGGTGGGGGTATTGGTGGTGATGATGGCCACAGTAGTGATGGTGATAGTGGCCGTAATAGTGGTGGTGATGGTAGAGGTGATGGTGGTAGCCGAAGTAGTGGTGATAATAGTAATGTTATTGTAGGTGCTTAAGGCTTGTGCCCCGGGCTGTGGTTCTAAGTAGTAATTCTGTTCGTCGTTCTTTGTTGTTATTTATTTTTTAGCTCGGTATTTACCTCCTGATAAATGCCTCAGATACACGAATCTTCCAGAGGTGATTGGCGTCTCTGTTACGTTACCTTAGTGTTGATTTATCAGTTATCAAAGCTTATTTCGAGTCAACTAGAACTTAAGTCTTTTAACGAGTCTGCTTGTGTATCCTTAGTCATCCTAGGAGTCGAGTACCAGGACTGAACCATCAAAAGAACCGCCGGGGAATGGGAGCAAAAGGCCTACAGCCACCAGACCATCGACGGAAAAATCTGGGAATTCGAGTACATGAGGTTAACCAACACCAGATGTATCTTATGTTACTAACTCCTGCGGGTTCTTCCTTACACAACGCGTCGCTGAGGAGTATAATAGCGAGGCATAATAGTAAAAATAGCATAATTGACGACCCCTACACACGAGTCATTTTGTCATAAACCTGTGCTATTATCGCGGCTGTTTCATTTTACGGACTCGAGCACGGATGGTAATTACACGTATTATAATCTTCCAAAACCAACCTCGGGGTCTCATTTGACATTTCCCATTGGCTGGCGGGTCTCATAATTATTCTTCAGCAGCTACCTAAGTGACCCATTAAACCCTGACAACTTTGAAGTAATACTCAGCCTCATAAGAGAGAGAATGGCTAATGAAAGCGGCATGAGGTAGTGACCAGCGGAAGTCCTCTCCAACCCACACATTTGGGAACATGACCGCCCGCGCCACTACCGTCGAAAACCCCAAATTCTAATCCA